AGAAATAATAAAAAAAGTTTTTATCATTTCTCTCTTGATCAATGATGTAGCTTTAATAAAATGAAACCTGTTAGATTATGATCTGTCTTCTACTTGTTCTTTATCCGATCATATATAGATACAGATAGATTTTATCAAGAACCTCTAAATACATAGAAGCATCAGACCAGCTGTGACAGCAATATTCAGTTCATGGATGGTAGATTTATAAATATACAAGATAGATTCTGGTGAGAAAAGCTGTCTTGCATGACAGAGTGAACAAACTTTTCTAACAGAAGACCTTGCATTTGATTCAATATAATCGTTCCGCTTCATGCCAGTGGAAAACATTAGCCTGAGAAGGCACAATGTGTTGGCAAGGTTCATGCTGATGGAAGGCAAAAATTGTTTTCTTAGATGATTAAAAGCAGTTTAGTTTTGAAGGAATTAAAATTAACAAGCCATTCCTTGCCCCTGTTAACAACAGATTGTAAGTCATTTTGGAGTCCACTTGCTAATTCGATCTTATAGAACATAACAGACAGGATTAAATAGTTGTAGCATATATATATATATATATATATATATATATATATATATATGTGTGTGTGTGTGTGTGTGTGTGTGTATGTTCTTTTTCGTCAGATGAAATAATCCTATTCCCCATATAAGGTAATTTTGGATTTTATTTTGTACTAATTTTATGCTCTGTAATAATAAATACATTGAGCTCTTTTTGTATGTCAGTTTTAATATTTTATATTACTAGGATCCACTTGGATTATATGCCAATGAACTTACTACCTTTAATATATATATATATATATATATATATATATATATATATATATATAAAATCAATTTTCCATCGGTTTCGACATATTAGGATCTGACAACTTAACCAATTGATTCAGTTATGAATTTTGTGTGATAGTCTTAAGTGGCACTTAAGACCCGCAAGTGATTTGTAAAGGAGGCCACATATGGGGCAAGAGTGAGGATTGTGAGATGAAGTCACTTTTAGATTGGCTGACTATTTAGATCTTGCTCTCTCTCTCTGTGCATATATATATACATATATAATATTTTTACCTTTCTGGAATTGTAATTTGAAAGCTAAACAGTTCAGAAAAATTCTTCCTAATTCCTCATGTGGTTCTTTGAAGAAGTCACGGTAAAGTTCTGTATCTCTTCAGTCTTAGATTGTGTTAATGTTCTTTCCAGGATTGGATTGTTCAGCTTTGTATCTTCTGTTCTGAACTATTTTTTTAAACTCTTTCACCTCAAACAAACTGATAAAACCACAGGGGGTTACTGAGTGTGAAAGAATGTGCGAAAAAGGAAAGATTATCACGGACAGATAACAATAAAAGAACAGGAATTAAGAAGGCAGAAGATAATGATTGACACTGCATTTAAATTTTTGATGATCAAAGTTGACTGGAAAGTAAGAAGCCAAAAGAGAGCACTACAATGGAGAAGTGCTATAGAAGGAACTGTTAGCATAGAACTTACGGTTACACCTCACCACTTCAGATGTAAAATTATGATACCTTGCTGCTAATCTAGTACTGTGCTTAAATTCATAAATTCAAGATACCAAGGAGGAAAGCTCATTTGAGCAATTACCATGAAAATATTTATAGAAAAAGCACAGCTATGTAATGGTGGTAGGAAAGTAACTGAAGCTGAGATGGCAGATTGAGACCAATAACATTGCAGATTCTTCTTTGTATATTATTGAGAATCTCTAAATAAACAGTAGAAGCAGTAGGTTGATAGATGTACACTTATCAGATCAAAGAAAGTAAAAAAAAAAAAAATCTATCAACCCATAATCTACAAGGATCTTTCAGAAAAATTCTGGTCAAAAATACTAAAATTCTATGTAGATTAAATTACTGGAAACATCTCACAATAAGAGAGGCTTAGTATATTAAAAAAATCTCTCTCCGACTATCAATACTTCTCAAACAGACAAAACATCAAAAGAAACTCATAACACTAAAATGAAACCCCTTGAAAAGGATTAGGAAGTGGCTGAAAGTGCTTGGGACAACAGAGAGTATAGAGGGATTTTATACTCCAACAAACAGAAAAAAACACTGGAAAAACTAAATAAAAAAATATTATTTTATATATATATATATATATATATATATATACATGGTAAGCTGGATAAATTGTTATGTAAATTATGCAAAAATGAAAATAACGCTAACATCTCATTTTAGCAGACATATTTAACAAAATTACACAAAAATATCTTGCAATATGAAAGAGTAAATTTATTCAATAAAATCTCCATTGGCTTCAACTAGAGCCTCCACACAACTTCAAAACCTCCTGCACATCTTCTGGTCACTCTCCTTATTTAAGTTGGTGAATGCTGCCATAATCCTTGCCCACAGTTCATCTTAGATGTTACAAGAATTTTTCTTGGCCTCTCTGCAGTGCAGAATCCTATTACAAGACATTTCAACAGCCACCCTCTTGACCCAGGGCAGCACTACCCACTCAAGACACTTGATGTAGGCCTCTGTGCTGGGTCTGAGGCCCTCACCAACAAATTCAGGATTTCCTTTCTTATCAGAATGAGTTTTTCAAGCTACCATACCTTTGCAATCACTATTGTGGGGAGAAGGAATGGAGGCATAATGTCACCCTCACTAGGGGTCACTCCAAACACCGTGAAGTTGTCTGGATATTTGGTTTTCATCATTGTCAGTACATCTTTTGGGGACACAGAATCCTCTGCACTGTCCTCAGATTGACACCCAAACACCATGAAATGTTTGTATTGGAGCTTCCGACACGAATGCCAAGTAGTACAGCATATAGTTTCCAAAATTTTGGCAGAGTAAATTGCATCTTTTTCTCACTGACGGTGCCAAACTGACCCTATAATACTGTGCACTCATGAAATTAAAAATATAAAAATGGCGGCAATTTACCCATCGCACCCTGTATATAAATACAGACACACACACATACACACAAGTATATAGATGGAAGAGATATAACTTTACTGAAAAAATTAATGTATAATTCAAGCAGTTCTCAAGGTTGTAAACACCAAGAGAGAAGGTTGTCTTTAATACCCTTGATGCCAGTCAGCCATATGTAATAGTCATTTTAAAAGTAGTGATTTCATTTGTTTCCACTTTTAAGTGAAACATTAAAAAGTGTTAAAAACGGTATCTGGTAGGATTAGTATGTCTATCATGAATAACAGGTTTTTCTTGTTACACTGCTGTATCCAAAATACTTATTTTTTTTTTGTTTCCAGCATAAGATAGCAGTAGGAGTGTTTAGTTTTAACTTTCAAAAAAAAAAAAAAAAAAAAAAAAAAAAAAAAAAAAGAAAAAAAAAAAGGTGCTTGTGTAACAGTTTCTGGATTTTATCATTTGGCATATACTTTTTCATTTCTAGAAAGGTAAAAGACAAAATCAGAACCCTAAACTTGTGCCCTTTAAGAAGAAGGTCAAATCATGCCACTCATCCCAAAACTCATTAGTGTTATAGGCAAACCACATATACTGTAACTGTACCAGATCTAGTGTTTTTCAAGCAAGATCCCTCTTCAGGTTAGTTTTGAATTCAGAGTTTTCCTTCTTTAAGACTGGATGCCACCTCAAGTCAAGAGATTCCAGTCAGCCCTACTATTTAACCCATATCTATGGTCAAGAAAGAAGAGGTGGATTGCTAATTTTTCCATGGGTAGGAAAATAAATGCAACAAACTCCGCTGGAATTTGAACATGGTCCACTGATTTCTCTTTCCAAATTTTTAACCCTTACACACCGCCATGAAAAAGGCATTTGTAATGAAAACTGTCACAAATGGTTTGAAAATTCTCGTACTGAAGAGTTAACATTTAACTTGATCTTGTCCATCAGTTAATTCATACTTTTCAATCAACTAAGTTCATACAATTCATGCAAAGGAGAAAATGTTGTGGAGACCCAGTCTTGAAGAGTCATGGAACAAAGAAGAATAATCTGCTAATCACTTTTTTTTTGATACCATACTTCTTCAGGATGGCTCTATACAGATTCTTAAAGCTAAAAATCCAGTCTGCACTACTATTTAACCCATAGCTGGTAGGGAGAAAAGGTAGGTTTATATATTTCTCAAGTGTAATTGCATGAAAGTGAATTTAATTTGAGTAGAATTCAAACTCACCTCTCACCAATTGCTTGTTCTGTGCCAGTAAGTATTACACCATTTAAATTACTCTTGAGTAATTTGTAACACGTTTATTTATTATCTTTCAGTTGCATCTTTGGGTAGAGTGCACTCAGGGGCGGCTCAGTTGAAGGACAGAGTCATATCTGAGGAAAATTATACTGAGAGGTGCTGACCCTGGGGAACAGCTGCTCAAGGCCACGCCCTCTCATTGCACCAGAGAGAGGGATCAATGCAGCGAAGCCAGCACAACCGACAGTCGTGGGGGCTGTGGGCAATTTATGTTCTTAGTTTTATGCACAAATATCCATAAAACAAAAAGCAAGGTATCCATTTCTTTTCCCTCTAGATTAAACAGAAGGGTAGACTGGACTCTCTAGCCTTGGTTGCTAGCTTGTCTAGGAAAAGGAATACTGTGTATTCCACACTGTGGTGGAGGCAATGGGAAACAAATCCATTTTCTTTTAACAAGAAGTCATAGCAATTCACAGATAATGAAAAAAATTAAATCAGTGGAGGGCCATAACCAGATTATGGCTTGCAGAATTTCTTTAAAAAATTAGAAAAATATCAGTAACAGCACAAAAGCTTTTTAAGATGTGATATATTTCTTACAATTAGAAGTGAAATATTAAAGAAGGAAAAAGGTTTTTTTGATTACCTGGTATTAAATATTTTTCATCAATTTTTATGATGTAAACAGATCTTTGACTTTTGCTATCTTGACAGGCTCAGCCCATAAAAAAAGACTTTAAGTGGCGTAGGGGAAAAAAAGATGACAAGTTGTTAAAAATGAGGTTAAAAGGAAAAGAAAATGGGTGATTATAGCCTTAGAAATAACAAGGTGATGAAATAAAAAAAAAATGAATGAATGAATTAGGGGAGAAGTAAAAGAATGTAAGAAGATATTTAGGAGAAGAAGAATGGAAGAAAGAAGAAAAAGAGGGGGAAGAAAAGGAAAGAAAGAAAAATGAATAAAAGAAAGAAGAGGAAAGAAAGAAGAAAAAGATGTAAAGGAAAGGAAAGAAGAAAAGGAATGATAAAAAATCATAGGAGAAAGAGCAAAGAAGGCATAGAAAACAAAAAGAGGAGTAGAAGAAAATGAAAAAGAAAAGAGAAAAGGAAAGAAAAAAGGAAAGGAAGGAAAGGAAAGAAAGAAAAAAGGAAAGAAAGTAGAAAAAAGAATAAAAGAAAAGAAAGGAGAACAAAAAGAGGAGTAGAAGAAAACAAAAAAGAAAGGGGAAGAATGAAAGAAAGGGGAAGGAAGAAAAGAGAAAGAAGACAAAAAGAAAGAAAAAGAAAAAGAAAGAAAAAGAAAAAGAAAGAAAAAGAAAAAGAAAGAAAAAAAAAAAAGAAAAAAAGAAAAAAGAAAATGAAAGAAAAAAAATGAAAGAAAGAAAATGAAAGAAAGAAAATGAAAGAAAGAAAGAAAATGAAAGAAAGAAAATGAAAGAAAAAGAAAGAAAGAAAAAGAAAGAAAGACAGAGAGGACAAAGAGAAAGGAAGAAGACAGAGAGGACAAAGAAGAGACAAAGAGAAAGGAAGTAGGAGAGGAGAAGCAAATAAAGAAGGAGACAAAAAGTAAAAAGGTGAAAATATTTTTTATTCATATATTTGTAAACATTTACTAAATTATTAAAATATGTGAACTGACTATAAGGAAATCCTTATTATTTACCATTTTATAAAGTTTGAATCAATTGGGAATTAGCCAATGTTTTGCCAACCATTCCAATAAAAAATCTAATACATTGTGTTTATTACGTCCGTTGTCAATTCTCAATAACAGAAGTATAAATTCACTTTCATCATATGTTTAAATTCTATTACAATTCTAATCATCACTTTTTAAAAGAATAAACATTGCTGAGGAGTGAAGATAGTTAAAATAATAGTGGTGTCAAGGGAAAAACTGTTCTTTTGACACACCATTTTTGTTTTGTGGGCATGATGGCTAAAGATTGCTTTATATTCGATAAAATTAGTTTGAGAAGGACCCAAGCATACGCAACTCAACCAAGTACAAGTTCGCTCATAACTGTCTGCTTATCAAATAACCCTTTCTTCAGGATGAAGTAACTGCAATGCCTATCTTTTTATCGAAACACATTGATTTTCATATGTTACATAAACTCTTTTTGTATTTGTCTAAATACAAGCAAGACACCTGAACAATTGTTCATTGATCAATATTGTAGCCTTTCAAGCCATCAACAAATCCTATAACTGCTTGAGTAACTCAGAAATATGGCCAGGGGCCAATTTTAGCCAAGGACAAACATGTATACTCATCTTGTTCAGCAGATAAAAATACAAAACAATAGAAACGCTAAACTGGATTTTCTATTCAGCCCACCTGCAATGCTTGCGTGGCTTACAAAAAATGCAATTGATATACACTGCTTTAAGTAAGGATTGAACTCCAATAGATCATATTAATAATTCAAAGCTGTAACTGTACCATGTGCATGGAATCCTACTCCCAAAGGGAGACAATTCTTCTTTATAAAGGAAGAAGAAAAATTAATGTAAAATATTAATTAGTACAGGATGAAATCAGACAAAAAGAATGAAGAGTACAGAACTGAGGAATTAAGTGATTATTATTGATGTTCGGATAGAAATAAACAACTGCTAGTTTGGAAGCGGCACACAAAACAGCAGTTCTCACAAGCTGTTGACAGTCCCAGTTTAAAAATATAACTAGAGCATTTTTATTATTATTATTATTAATAGTTTTAATCCATCTCATTACTGTTTCTTCTTATACCAACATTGTGTGTGAATAGTAGACATCCGTTTATACCCGAAGTTAAAATTATTGCCCTGTTAGGTCAATATTTAGTCCTTTGGGGCGGAAACAGGACTGTCCTCTCCTGGATTCAGGCATACAGAGGCCATGTGTTGCCCATACCACATGCTTCCCAAACTCTCAGACATACTGAAAAGATCTAATGTATGAATAGCTGACAACTTGTATTCAAGGATGCCTGTCTACTAGCATGGCTAGCCAATCCCTATTGCAGACACTGGCTCAGGCACATTTGTGTTTATTAAACACCCAAAGATCCCGCCTGGGGTTCATACTGCAACTATACTGAGCAGACTTTCTGGGAAAGAGCGTTTTATCTAGCATGATCAAGAATTTGAACAAGGCCAGCACACTCAAACCCTCGTTCATGATGACTAGACTTCATGCTAGCACAGCTATTGACGGACTCCAAGGGTTCTGCCTACCCAATTTCATTCACAAGTTTTGGGTCAACCCATGGCATGGTTTTCAGGCACTTTTCAAATGTGCCGTATGCTAGGATTGACCCCTCCAGTTTGATAGCATAAGGGAGTCTCCTTCCTGGCAAATCGACTATGGTGAGATTCGAACCTGGATCTCATTGTCAGAATATGAACATTCTAACCACTCGGTCATTGATCTAAAGGAGTACAGAGCATCAGATTTGGGGCCCCACTTTGGTTGTGGAAGTCAACAAGTTATTAGTGTTGACAGCCAACTGACTTAAGGGCTACACTCCAGATTTTCTATTTGGATTCAATACTAATCTTTTTCGTGTTTGAATATGACTGCAAGACAGTTGAGGTTTAAAATCAGGATTTATCTTCCCCACATGGATTGCCTTTCTGGGCTGATGAGGATCCATATACCCAAAGCACTATAGGAAATGTAATTTTTAGAATGCTTTTTGAGCAACCATTTTCTCTATGATTATGTCAAGGACTAATTTTACTTCTTTTTACTAATGTTCATCTGATGCAAGGCCCAAGGGTCACTCAAGATAGAGTGTTACTGTTTGGAGTTGTACTTCTATAAGAAATAACAAGGTAACAGGAAAGACAGGCAGCTAATTCTAGACTTGAAAAGATCAAGATTTAATTTGTGAATAAAAAACCAGGGAGAAGTGTGAACAGGACGATAAGCAAACCTATCTACTCCTGTTAGAGAAGAGAAAAAATAATCAGTGAAAAACAATTCAGAGTTCAGGCAGAGAGGTTAGAAGTATGGAGCTAAAGTAGACTTTAGAAGGAACCGGAAACTAAATCCTAAACAGGAAACCTCTACTCCTGTTTAAAAAACCAGGGAGAAGTGTGAACAGGATGATAGGCAAACCTATCTACTCCTATTGGGTAAAGAAAAACAATTACTGAATAAAACTTCAGATTTCAAGCAGAGACATTAGAAATAAAGAGTTGAAGAACTTCATTTTCTTATCGTCAGTCTCATAGTCAAAGATGATGTGGCGGCAGGCCATGTATCCACTGGAGAAATGTTGTCCACCAGGACTTCCAAAAGATTAATCAGGCCCTGGAGGATATTCTGATGCTCTGCCAAGACCATGAGAGTTGGACGGACCAGGTGGCTCTGGTTGGCTCAACACTTTCATCGCATAAGATTTAACGGTAGCAGCATAGTCAAAGAATATATTGACCCAAAAATTGTGATTAATATCAACAGTAATAAAATTGAGTGGAACACCCAACTATAGTATTGTTGATTGTGAGTTTGATGTTTACTTGGAAATCAAGAAATATATTTTTCTATTATATTTGGGTGAATTCATGTCATCAAAAGGCCAATGGTTATTCTGAGTGAATTTATGATTTCTTTAAACTATGAGTCTTTTCTTCAATGGAAGATCTTTAAACATATTTCTGCACTTGACAAATAAATGGACAACAAATTCTATGCCTGAAGAATGTTTGGAAATGCAACAACCATTCATGAATGGGAAGCTTATCTGCATTGAAAGTCGGAAGTGAAAATCCTAGCTTTTAGTTGGTTTCAGACACTGACCTTTGTTACTAGTAGGAAATAAGTTACTATGAAAACTGGGACGCAAGCACAAATCAATGGAGACAGATAAAGATGGAGAGAGTGATAAAGACAAACAATAATGGGGAGTGGGGACATGGCAGAGAGAAAGAGAGAGAGGTATGAAAAGGCAGAGAGAGAGAGAGAGAGAGAGGTGTGAAAAAGCAGAGACAGAGAGAGAGAGGTGTGAAAAGGCAAAGAGAGAGAGAGAGAGATGAAAAAGCGGATCAGAGAGGTGTGGAAAAGGCTGAAAGGGAGAGAGAGAGATGTGCGGAAAAGGCTGAAAGAGGGAGATGTGCGGAAAAGGCTGAAAGAGGGAGATGTGCGGAAAAGGCTGAAAGAGGGAGATGTGCGGAAAAGGCTGAAAGGGAGAGGTGTGAAAAGGCTGAAAGGGAGAGGTGTGAAAAGGCTGAAAGGGAGAGGTGTGAAAAGGCTGAAAGGGAGAGGTGTGAAAAGGCAGGGAGAGTGACAGAGAGGTGAGAAGGTTGAAAGAGAGAGAGAGAGAGAGAGAGAGATGTGAAAAAGCTGAAAGAGAGAGGTGGAAAGACTCTTAGCACCATTTTTATCCAAGATATATAGTCCTGAAGGAGACAAACTTTGAAAAAAAAAAAAAAAAAAAAAAAAGGAAATATGAACTATTCTAAAAACTTAAGAGCTGTAGATGTGGAATTAACACAATGAGAAACTATAAGAGAGATTGAAAATAAGAATAATCAAGATGCCAACACTTCATTCTTAGAGCCTGAAGGATTTCAGTGTAAATTATCATGATTCATGCATATTTGAAGAACATCTACAAGGGACACTGGGTGGGCATCTAAGATATAATATTACGATCAAAGTAGATGCCTAAACCTTCTCAGAAACATTTTGAAATAAATACTATGTAAACAAAGGAATGTTAAAATAAGTGGGAAAAGGTTTAAAATTTTAAAAGATTTTCTGATAATATTCTTATTTGTTTGACAGGGTGCTTTCAAAATTTTTTTTTTTCATCATCAGTTAACATGACTTGGAGTTTCATGTGCAACCCAGGTACTGAGTTAAGACTGACTCTTATATAATTTAAATTTTTTTTAAATATATCAGGTTACTGCAATGTTGATGCAGTCTGTATTTTATATGAGGATTGTTGTTTTTTAAATTTTGTAGTTAAAATAAACTTAACTAAAAAATGAATTTTATATGTAAAATAAACAGAAAAAAAAGCAGACACAAATCCACACAAATTATTTCCTTCAAGTTGTTATATAGCCAAAGTTAAAATCTAAATATTAATATATATATATATATATATATATATATATATATATGTCACTTTAATGGTATTTTAGTGGGTACCCATATTTGAGTAGACGTTCAGTTCATTTTAAATATTTTTTTAATAAGATTTCTCTTATATATACTGTGTTTAATAAATAAATGAATTGCCTACTCAGTTATAAATATCCCCTAAAAAATAATGTTTAAAGCGAGATATATATATATATATATATATATATATAGAGAGAGAGAGAGAGAGAGAGAGATAGAGATGAAAATAAATAAATATACTGTGTTTAATAAATAAATGAATTGCCTACTCAGTTACAAATATCCCCTAAAAAATAATGTTTAAAGGATATATATATATATATATATATATATATATATATGTATGTGTGGGAAAATATATAGAAAATAGGAAAAAACTTGTTAGGTAAATAATCCAAAGTTCTTTAGTATTTTTGTTATTACTTTTAAAAAATAGTGCTCGATACAAAAGTAGAGCATGAATATGTAGCA